TTGCAGTCATCACACTCTTTACTCTGGCAAACATGGTGACCTATTTGGTCAGCGTTCGGTTTCTTCTTGAATGGCAGTTTCACCCTCACGCATGCTACCGTCTTGCCCATAGGTTGGAACGGTGCGTGCAGTAATGATCATAGGTATAAGCAATCAGCTCGAAAATGATCAAACCTCACACTCCTAGGATATTACAAAATCTATGCTGACAATCTTGTCCAATTCGTAAGTTCGTTCAATCTGAACATTGAGTACTGATGGATCTACATATGTTTTATAGTATGTCCGCTATCATGATGTCGCGTCTAATGCTTAATCTCCGAAGAGAAGAACCAGTTGAAACACTAGATCAATTCTCAATATCAGGATTGTTGTTCTCAAATCAGCAGGAGTTGGTAGATGAGTTCTGTTGAAGAGGGTCACTGTCTTCAAGTACGTGTCGGAAATGATTGTTCGTGAAAAGAGAAAGGCGCGGTTGTTGAAATTGTTGTGAGCTAATCACACATTCCATGACAGTCGACGTGTCGGTGACGCGCTCCCAACGATACAAGATCAAGCATACTGTCACTAGTATCATCATATTCGCACTGTAGTCACCTATTTGTTATTTGTCAACGACAAACATCATCGAAAGCTTGTCCCTACCTGACTGTTTTCCGAATCTGCGATATCGCAAGGCGAACTGATTTTTCTGGATGGTGACGACTACGACGATCAAGAGATTCTTCTGCAATACTCTCTGTTTGACCACTGCCATGTTAGTAGCAGCCAGTATTCTTGGACTATGGGCGGCGAACATGAATTTCACGGGATAGACATAATAGGATATTCAACAAGACCCTCAGATTTATACACTCAAGCAACAGTTAAGAAAATGATGTCTAGGAGAATGTAATCAACAAGAAATTTGGGGGAGCGACTGCGTAAAGAACTCACCAAGAGGTTTGATATCCTGAGTACATTTGATCTTCGAATCATGTGAATCGTAATTAGAAAGGTGCGAGCGCCATTAAGATCAGGGTGCATCACCCAGCTGTATAAAACCAGGCGATATCTTTTCCCTTTCGAGGCGTGGTTCACCTCGTTATTTTCCCGTGATGGGTTGGACGACGCGTGAACGATTTGAAGCATTTCGGTATTATCATGGGTACACTAGGTTTTGCAATCACAAACACAGAGGGGAGATTAAATCCAGTTTGACTTCGCGAGCAACAGCAACGTGCTACGAAGAAACCCAGTGGCATAGGTACATGAAGCATTGTCGATGACCGCAAACACGAATAGACACGAGAGGACAACGACGTCAAGAACGGACAACGACAACTCCGGGAAGGGACATCCGATCTGTATATCGAAGAATAAAAAAGTACGAGCAAGAATGAAAACACTGAACGGTACCGTAACACCCCAACATAGGACGGACATACTGTGGCAAAGTTCGTCGGGCTCCGATGATCGTGACCTCCCTACGTCCGTAAGCCACGCTGTACCAGCAGTCGATAAACCGCCAGACGTCAACACCGTGAACGAAACGACTTGCGCCCCTTCAGCCGCTCCTACAAGCCTGGATAGTCCTATTCAGTACTCCACGGCATCATCATTATCATTTTCTGGTTGCGTGGAACTTGGTTTGTCCACGTCCATTGCAGCCGTTTTGTCTTTTTCCTCTGATGTAACATCTGCTGCTGTTGGCGCTGAGGTAGACTCCGTAGACTGTTTCGCATCTTTGTCGCCATCTTTGTTGCTACCATCCACATCCATACCAGTGGCGTCAACTCCGTCCCCTTCTGCATTTGTGTTTCGTTCTCTCTTTTCCTCTCTTTCGATGGCCTGAGCATTAGAGACTTTTTCTCGTAGTTGCCTAATTTCTTGGACACTTGCGTCGCGCTCGGCGGCAAAGGCAGACCATTCGGCTGCGGATGCGACGGTTATCTGTGAGTGAGAAACGAGGAGTCAATCAGCTTATGATAAAACTTGTACAATTCGAAAGGGACGCGCCTCTTCTTTCCGCTTTTTTAGAAATGCTTCTTGTGATGGAAGCAGTTTTTTCGGTAAATAGTATAGCGGTGGGGGATGTGACCTGGGAGGTTTTGCTTTCTCTAGTATTTTTGCAAAGGATTGTGCGTCGCCTGTGAACCATCTTTAGCGCAGGTTTACATTCCGCGAGCTCAGACGAAGCTTACTTTGTTCGACGTCCTCCTCCATTGTCTGTTCATCCAGTATAACATCACTTGTACACAGGAAATTCGCCAGATACGGTGTTCTCGTCCTCCTCAATCTATACACACTGACTCTCACACCCAGCTCCTCCTCCTTCCTCACTGCGAGTGTTTTATCCTTCTTTGCCTCTTCCTGCCTCCTCACTTCTGCTGTCTCATTCCTCAACTTGGCTTGCAGCCGAGCTTCGAGTAATTGACGACGTTTGGCTGCATCGGAGGCTTCGCGCTCTCTTGATTCGATTTTGGCTTTGTTAAGAGTACCTAGAACGAGGCCAAACATAGATTTTCCACCGCGGCCGCCGCGAGTGCCATTGCCGAGAGCAATGCGAGGACGAGAAGGAGGAGGAACGGATGGAGGAGCGGCTTCAGCGGCATCTGGAGTTGGTGTAGGGGCTGGGGCGGTTGCGGCTCTAGATAATAGACAAGTCAGCTGCAGAGAACGCATCTAGACTGAGAAAAACATACTCCTCGGACATGGTGAGCGTATGTGTATGAGGAACGTCGGAGAGCAATTCAAAGGATCCGACAAAACATGTGATCATTTTGTGCCGCCATCGATTTTTTAACACGTCGTCCTCATACTAGTAAGTGCATCTGTATAACACTCTCTCACCAAAACAATCTTACAGAATATGCCGAACACACCGGGGAATCACTGTATACTCACAGCGCTCTGTCTGATGCCAATAATTTCGCCTAAATTACTGGTTTCTGGCAGTCTGTGCTTGTATAAGGAAGACGGATGTCTGCTCCCTTCCCGCAGACATGTCAAATCACTGAAAATCCTGATATAGCTGGTACATATGCTCTAGAGCTCAAGCCCCTCCGCCACTGATTTCTCTATAGGTATCGGAGTTCGTCTTTCAATCTACATCCCAGCTATACTGAACTCTGGCTACGTCGCAGCCCAGGTCTGCGTGGACGGGCTCACTGGGAAGCTCTCTGAGTATTTCAGCTCTGCATCACTTAGGTCTTCGTCGGAAGATAGTGATTCCAACCCTCCCTCCGATATCGAACTCGTTGACCTGGAAGCAGCAGCTCAACCGTCTCAGTCGTCTTCTTCCATTGGATCAGACACATCTTCTTGGTACAGTGATGGTACGAATGAACGTAATTTCGAAAGAACTTCCCGTGGATACCTCAACTACCTCTCCGACCACCCCCACTATTTCGAATCAAGCAGGTCTCTTGAGCGATCTCTCTTCCTCATCGGCTCCGCGATTATTGTGAGCGCTTTTCTCGACGCCCGACAAGTCACCTCCAGCATTGGTCTCCCTCCCTATCATGCCCTGCTTGTCCTTAATCTGTCTCTCCTCAACAACCTTGCCGGCTCTATTTTACTTCCGTTCCGAATCATGGCAGTTTGTGCTGAGATGTGGTTCGGTGACAGAGAGGAAGAGGATGTAGTATTGCCAGACTCGCTTTGGAACATCGCCGTGTTCATCGACGTTTTCGGCCTTGCAGTGTTACAGACCTTAGTTATAATTGCGTTCGGGATCTGGTTCTGGGTGTCGACAACGTTCTTTCATTCGTTTAGCGGATATAGCATGACTGTCGACAAATTATTATCTTCGGCATCATTTAATTCAGCTATTGCTGCTTCGTCCAATGGACCCTCAGATCCGTCACAGTGCCTCTCTCAAACAATCTACTGGGCTTTCCGCAACGTTCCCGTCGAATCAACCCTCTCTCTACAGATAATCTCGCTCATCTTTTACATTGGGACCGCCGTTTTTCCAATCCTTGGTCCATTCGTTTACGTCGTGCCCACCATCGTCATCATTCGTTCTGTACCATTGATTCTGGCAGTGATGCTCTCAGGTGTTATATATCTTTTCGGTATCGCGTTGCCCCGCGTAACAACACGCCTGATATATACTCTGCCTCCCAGATTCTACCATCTCCGCATCACCATCCCGCATCCCCGTCGCCGCCTCTTGCCAACAGTTCTCTCACCCTCAGCCGTCTCCACGAAACTCATCTTTTTCTCGATCGTGATTTCGAATTTGTCTACCGTCCTATACTTGATCATCTCCACAGAGAAAACCATCTTAATCAACTCTGCTTCGAGGTCAGGTCCTGTCGTGGTCAGTGGTAAACAATGGACTTATGGACAGACTTTGGCTCTGTTGACCACGGTTATCGGGGTGCTAATGTATGTTGCGGAGCTGGTGGGACAATGGAAAGAAGTTTTGCTCCGGCGTCGGAAGCGCCTGCGGGAGCGGGAAAATGGTGAAGACGTTGTTGATGTCGCTGGCGATGTTGACGACCCAAGCAAGACTCAGGCTGGTGATAGTGGTGCTCGAAGTGAAAACAGGGGCGATGGTGACAAGATGTTCTCTTGGATGTCGACTGGTACACGGAAAAGGACATGTAATCAGAGGGAGAGGGCTAATAGCATTTAACTTGTGGAATCTCCTGAGATGTAAGCTTTGACGGCAAAGAGTTCCTGCCGAAAGACTGGTTCTTGAAATAAAGATGCGATGGCTGACTTCGGGGTGTGGTAGTCGAAGAAAGATATGTAATCAGAAAAATAGAATAAATGGCATTCAAGTAGTTTTGGGGGCCAGAACGAGAGGGAAAACAAAGTATTCAAGTAGTTCACAATATGCTATTGATATAAGCTAAGAACAAAAATGAAAAGAGTTCAAAGTCCCCGACAGCGGCGCTTTCCCGGATGGCCCACAGGGTACTAATAAACGTGAAAAATCAAACTATGTAAATACGAATCCAGTTTGGTCTCTGGATTAGGCAGCAGTGGGATGAAAAGCAATGATAAAAAGTTCGCGCCGTGGTTCGAACACGGGGCTTCGAGATAAACTCAACACCACTATCGGTGACTAAGCGTTGCAATCTCACACTCTACCACTGAGTTACGCGAACGATGCTTCTGCATTTAAAAAGTATCCTGAGTCTGTACCAAGCCTTTAGGTCAATCATGTGATTATACCCCAAGAAGTTCGCGTCTACCACACTGGCTACCTCTGGCAACTCCTACATCGAAAAACCAAGATGAAAACTAAACAAAAAGCAGACAACAGCCGCATCACTACTGTCTTTCCCTTCGACATAGGCTCTGGAAGTTTCAGGCTTTCCAGATTGTTAAACCCTCCATCATTCTCTTGTTTCCGTATCTATGCTTTCGCCGCGCTTTTCCTGATAATCGTTTCAACGAGCTTACTTTTTACCGCATTAACAACTGAAAGCACACTCAAAATCTTGTTTCCGCTTCCTCACAAGCTACGAATATCTTGGTCTGCAGATAATATCCCCTTCCGGGTTGGCACGGGACCGCTCATACCTCGTTTCGATGAGTCGGACCCTGTCCCGAGCTCGGAGACCAAAGAGTCTATCTATGTCCTCTCGCTTCCTCATAGGACTGACCGTCGCGCCCGGATGGAATATCTGCAGCACTATCTTGGCTTGAATTGGACATACATCGGCGCGACCTATTCAAATGCAGAAATCATCGGAACGATCATGGGTAATGTTAGGAAGATACGCGAGGAAGCTATGAAAGCAAGATTGGAGCTACAGAGAATCAGGGATGAAAAAGCTAGGGAGAAGGAGAATGTCGACGATGACTTAGCGCTTATAGTCTATCCTGACGACTTGGAGCCGTATTCAATCCCGAACATTGCCTCGCCGTCTAGTCCTCTCCCGGATCAAACAAGTCAACTATTTTCAGGCGTCAAACTACCGTTCCAGTGGCCAGCTTCTATATTCACCAACATATCCGCATCCTCAGAGCCGCTTCTTTCCCAGTTGTCATTGAAGACTCAAATATTAGATTATCTTCAAGCGTTCGATATTTATGCAAGCAATCACAACTCGAACGAGATACTCGGGACCTGGCGTATGGGATCTAATTCTTCAATTCTCGTAAATAATATCGAAAACCATGACTATTTCAACCGATTTCTCACCAACATCGACGCTGGCAACACAAGAGCACATTCTACGGTGAACCTGGAACTAGTTTGTACCACGAAAGATTTCAGTCTCGTTCCGTACTCGACTACGCTGCCATATCACAAATACCTCACAGCTGCGCGGGTAGCTGTATGGCACTCGCATTTGAGGGTCTTACGACTGATCGTCGAGAAGGAAGAGTTGCGGCAGAAAAACTTTTGGAAGCAGAAGATTAAGCAATCCGACGACAAGAATACGACAACGACTCCGAAGGAAGAGGGTCAGATTGAAGCCAAAGCAAGAACTGGAATGCGCTGGATAAGACGATACACTAATGGGCGGTGCGAGTACCTTAAACTGATCCCGTTCGATATCGGTGCTAATTACTTGCTTGATAGACGAGAACTCAGTGAATCTGGTTCAGAGGACAACATCGGCGAATTTCTAGATCCTCAATCCGACCACCCACGAACCAACGATAAAATTCCCAACGCCGCTGAATCGCAGCCTCAACCCGGTCGCGACAAATACCGCGAACACATTAGCATTATTCTCGAAGACGATATCGACATGGAGAAAGATATACGTCGCAGGTTACACCGAATCTGGGTCAATCTACCAGACGACTGGGACGTTGTTTTCTTAGGACATTGTTGGTCAAATGAATCTTTTTGGCCAGCAATTTCTCTTCCTACAAAATCACCAAAAACTCAGTATACCTCGACTAAAGGCGTCTCTGAGAACACACTTCACCCTTCGTACTCTCCTAAATGCACACACGCATACGCACTCTCCCCTCCAGGCGTCCACAAGCTGCTTGCACACCTCGAGTACCCCCCGTTCGCGTATTCCCGAGCGATTGATCAGGCTTACGCATGGCTAGTTTCCAGTGGCAGGATTAACGCGTACAGCGTAGTGGGGAGCGTTGTCGTACAGGTCAAGGGTACCGTAACCGATTCAGGTAGTTCAAACGACAAAGGAGATGAAGCACATGAGAGTGGCGAAGGTGAAGGAAGTATAGGAATAGGCGATGTGTGGCGACCAGGGCGGAAGGAAAATAAAGAGGGGACTGGGACTGGCAATGGGACTGAAGCCTTTCCCGTGGTTAGCACTAGTTCGTGGACCGAAGAACTCTTCAACGGGGTTTTTGCGGGCCTTGTATGATTTACTTGTGCGTCCGATCTGCGTCCGATGATATTCTCTGAGTCCTTTGCTATGTTTTTGATGATTACAATAAATTCCACGGTGAACCTGCATAACTTTGAACATGGTTCACTTTTTTTCTTCCCAAAAACCTTTCGAATCTGGTAGCGAGTCGCTTTGTCTAGGTATGTGAGTCTCCTTTCTCGTTAGATAGTTGTTAGCAGGTAAGATTGGATTTGATCCGAAGTTAGAATCCGCACGCAGTTTACCATTTAGGACAAGGCATTTCCAGTTCAAACACAGCGGAATCAACTTTTGTAAATTATTCACTTCCGTGGAAGCCGTTAGTGCGCACAGGATGAACCGTCGCAACTGTAATATCTTGGAGCGTTTATAGGATCGTTCAAAATGATGATCTCCTTCGCCCGGTGCCCTCATATCAGTTCACATTCTTTACAGAGCTGGCCTCTGCAATTTGTCTACTGACCTCCCTAACATTAATTGAATCCAACTTCAATGCTTTCCCCCCTTCCTACCAAGGTATTGTCCCCAGTGCTGCTAATAACACAATTGGTGGTCATTGCTGCATCTCCCATCGGTTTTGCACCATTATCAGGCCATCGCTCTCGTGGTCTCAAATATTTCTCTTCCAAATCCGACCCCGACAAATTTGTGGGTTTTCACTACGCCCCCAAAGTGAGGATCCCTCTTGAAATTTTACTCGTGGATCATTTTATGACTGCTGTAGGGGGAGGCCGAGGAATACAACAAGGCTCGGACGCTCACAGCAGCAACGGTTATCGAGCAAAACCCATATGCCGTTGTTTATCCTAAACGTGGATCCTTTTCCAAGTGCGTAGAATAATCTCTCTTCCTTGAACGTTAGAAATTCATTGTACACTGCAGTAATTATTGGGAGGTTAGACGCTACCGAGGTTGTCCACCTTTTAAGGCACTCACTTGCTCGTCGTTAGTGCCAAGTTCATGTTCCACATAACGAGCAAAGGGCGATCGATGAAGTGCCAAAGGTGCGCCTTGTTTACTGTACTGGAAACCAGTGGATTTAATACCAAACTTTCACAGCTGTTCATTCCGAACAATGCCGTTCCCCCTGGAAGTCAAGAGGAGCTTGATGAATACATCAAGAAAGAGGAATTGGAGCCTGCTAAAACTGTTTTATTCCGCCAGCCAGCAGCAGATGTTGTAGAAATGTTGATCCCATCTCAGTATCTTGAAAAGTCACCAAGCAATCCAGCAAATCCTTCGGGAGAGAACAGCCTTAGTTTGAAGGTATCGTGTTACTCACTTAGTAAGTTCAACTTAATTTCATCGCTGGATAGGATAGGATAGGATATAAATATATAAATATGCTTGGATTGAGGTTCGAATCATGCTCAAAAAACTTCTTTTCCTTAGGCACGTCTTCTGGATCAGAGTTGTTGGAAGCGAAGTGGCCCATTATGTGGTCCATTCTACATTGGCCTGCGTCGTTGATTATATAGACAAGTGGTGGAAAACTTTGATAGATGATTGTAACTTTGTGTTCCAAGTAGTCCAAGTAGTTGCTGCAGAAAAGTCGTCAGATATCGAACTGTTGGGAAATACTCCGCACGGCATGTATAGGTGAACCCCGAGTACGTACTACCGAGACGGCGTTATTATCTTATACTGTACAGTTCATAACATCCCACGAGCACAAAGGCGAAATGCTCCCTCAGTTGCTTAACACACAACTGAGGTGAGCTACGAGCGATTCTTCATACATGTAGATACTAACAAACCCCAGTTTACATTAACAGGTAGTACACAAATACAGTTGCTTAACACACACACAACTGAGTTTACATTAACAGATTATGAGACTCGTACTCTGAGTACGAAAAAGTTTATCAGCAGGAAAGGAAGCTAAGCAAGAACACTCACAACCAAAAATGTCCTTCGGAAACAGTCCGAATATCCCGAGACTCCCGGACGAGAAACAGCTCGTCGGCGAGGAAAACTGGCGGCCCTACAAGCGTGAAATTCTATTTGCGGTACAGTCGAGAGGACTGTCCGGATATATAGACGGATCAATCCCCAAACCCAACGGCTACCCAGGACCAATCTACCCTGTGAGTCAGCCACCAACTCCACTTTTCAGCCCTATGCCATGCCTAGAAGAGTGGGAGCTACGCGATAGACTCGTCGCAGGAGCTATAGTGTCAAACATCACAGACCCAGTAGGCCTAGGGGTAGACAAAACAAAGAGATCATCAGAAATCTGGCAGATGCTGGTTAAGCATTTTGAGAAACGCGACGAACAACGCATTCACTTGGCGGACACGAATCTCCGACAAGAAAAATATGAACCATCGGAGGACACAATGGAGGACCATGAGAAGAAAATGCGGAACCTCCTGAAGAAGGTACACAACCTCGGAGGGACAGCTACAGACGCTCAGTTCCGCCGTATAGTCATCTTGTCAATGCCGAACGACTGGAGACAGGACGTCCGTAGTGTCCCGGGAACCTCGAGCGCCGAGGCATTCACCTACCTCCACACCCTCTGGTACCAGAAGGAGGAGGAGCGGAAGGAAGAGGAGAGGGATACCAAACGTGTGAAAGCGCTAATGGCAGCACACTCCCAGAGTACCACCACGAACCAACCCCGGGCTAATGGACAATCCACGACCATATGCCACAACTGCGCCAAGCCCGGACATATTGCCAAAAAGTGCTGGGCAAAGGGTGGGGGCATGGAAGGTCAGTGGCCAAAACAAGGGTCAGGAAAACAAACGACCAGCGCAAATGCCAATGCAGCAAGCCCAGACGATACGGGAATCTCCTCG